TTTTTTGTAAGCTTCAGTTCTTTTTTATGTACTATTATTTGGACTAATATTTTTGAATTTGTCACACCCAACAAACCAAAATTTTAGACAGGTAAAAACGAGGCACTCGCTGATATTTTTTTCACATTATTTTTTTAAAGTTGAAAATTCTTTCAATTTAAAATGACATTTTAGAGAATTAAACATTTTCAAATAAGGGTATTTTCACTCCAGAAGACATCTGCCCATCTGCCTGGCCCATGAAAAAGTACTAACCACACACTGCATGCAACACCTACCAGTGGGGCTGAGGAACTGAACTTGTAAGAAGTAGGGAACTTACCCCTGGAGGTCCGAGCAGGGAGACAGGGCAGCCCTGCCACCCATCACAGGGGTCAGGCAGGCACCTAGGGGGGCTCAAGCTTTGCAATATGCAACATGATATCAGCAAAAAGAATATCCGGCAGGTAAGAAGTCAAAAACATTTGTAAGTACTTTGAGCACTCTCCAAAGTAAAAGAGAACTTTAAAAGTAAAAAATAATTATTTTGCAGCTGTAGGTACAAAATGCTACGTCTATTTTATGGGATTTGTTTTACACAGGGGAAGTCTCAACCAAAGAGGTTCAAGTTTATGTAATTCAAACTACTTGCTTAACTACTTGCAGGAAATATCACTTATTTCCCAAGAATCTGGATATTGTGTTCTTCTACTATCTTGTATTGTTAATTTAGCTATTAGTAATTAAAATTACACATTTGCAAGTTTTTTTGGACTAGCTGTGGAAGAGTTGCACTAATTTAGTATTATCAGGTATTACTATTTTTACAGAAGAGTTAAAATTTAAAGTTAAAATTAAAAATTTTAGATTTATGTGCCTGAATTTCTACATATTTGCGAAAGCCAACATGGATTTGAAAAATTTTGCATCGGAACAGACTAATTTTATGTATATAATATATAAATATGACCTTTATAATTCATACTACCTCACAGGCACAGTGCTGTTGTTCCTGATGCGGCAGTGGAACCTTTAAATACTTATTTTAATGACTAAACTGTTAAATGCTAAACAGTGGTACCCCAATCCAGCAAATAATTTATATATTTGGTTAAATATTGAAGTTTGGGTGATTTAGAAATCTCAATTATACTCAAACTTGTGTAATTAAGTTACTTTTCAGCATTGTTCCCAGGGAAAATAAAGAGGAAAGCTAAGAAAATTTCTAACAATTACAATTTAAATCACGTATCACTGGAATATAGCTGCATTCAACATATATTAATAGCAAGAATTTAAAGCCTAGTTTTTGCTGTACATGAATCCTCAAGTTATTTCACAAATCGAATTACCATTAAGGAATTTCTGTATTTATCAACAGAAAATCCATGTGTGTATTCCTTCTAGGAAAGTAACTGAAAAGTTCCAAAGCAGTAAGGAAAACAGGAGAAAATTTATTTAAAACAAAACACCTTTATAAAACAATGCATTAAAGTATTTTTCCCACAGTAATAAAGAGCAAAAACCCAAGGCAAATTCATGCAGAAACGCTTTTTGCAGTTGGACAACTTTTTTTTTTTTTTCCACAGTTTCTGTTACACTTGGAATGGTTTGCCTTACATGGATAATTTGCAAAGAAAAATATACCTTTTTATGTGTGCATGCAAGGCAAGATGAGTGAAAGCAGAGATTCACATGAAAAAAACACAATAAGCATGAGTCCTCTTAGCTCGAGGTGGTAAAAGAAGCAACTCAGAGGGAAGGCAAAGGCTACTCGATGCAAATTGCCCAGTGCGTGTGCCCTTTCCTTCTGTTAGCCACTGTAAACTTAGTAACTTCACCTGATACCTTACTTTTCCATTTCTGTCAGAATTCCAGCCCACTTAATTTTTATTTAGTATAACTTCAGTGTTTTCTTAAAGCTTGCTAACCAAATATTTATAAAAGTCATTTACAGAAACATGAAGTAATATAGGATTCTGAGTTCACCACACTGCAAAAATCTCAAGGAAAATCTTTGTGTATTGCCTAGTACATTTTGCTGCACTACATATTTGTCAGAAAACGAGCCCTGCAGTAAACTAGGATATCTAAGGACATTTTGAATATTTGCTTCCACTTGGAATCCTTGCAAAACACTTGGGAAGAGTGCTGATTCCTGTAAATAGTTCAAACTGCTTTTTACTGGCTTTATTCGTTTATTCGTTCAGTACATCTTGCTTGGAATTGTGCAGCACTGAAAATGTAAGTTCTCCATTTCTCATATATCAACTTTCTCCATGAAAAATAAAACATAGCAAAAGATCATATTAAAAAAGGTTTAAAGGAGAAAGGTGTAATTACAAAAACTTCCAGATTCTTCAGAAATAGAACAGTAAAGATATACAATGTTACAAGAAAATCATAATGTAACCATAGCATAAATTACATGAACCGTGTTGTAGACATAGATATTGCCTGTCTCTTCTAAGTACTGGTATCCAGATTCCTTTAGTCTCCACATCAAAGATCTTACATGTGGACTTATACATGGGACATGGAAAAAGAACCCATATAGCTCTTTTCTAAAGATCCTTATGCATAATTCTTGCTGCTTTATCCCACAATTTTTCTCAAAACACTTCTTCTCTGAAGACTGAGACACTTTTAAAGATAATTTGTCAAATACACAGGAGTAGAGAGAAATCTATTATAATGATCCACTTAACCAGCAACAGACTCAAATTACCCTATTGGAATGCAGGACCAGTATTAAACATGGCACACCTCGAACCAGATCAGGATTTTTTACATGTAATATGCACATTTGAGTGAATGCCATGAACCAATTTGTATAATTTATGAGAAATGTCTGATTAACATCATATTTATTCTATTTTTCCCTCATCTTGTATCTCATATAGTATCTTATATAATATCTGAAAATTATTTCAAGTCACGAGAATGCATTTTGGTATCAATTCTGAAGTAATTTTACAGACATATTTCTTACTGTTTTGAAGGATTTGTGGGAATCCATTGCAAGAATGCATTTATCTTCACAGCCTTCCTATGAGGAACCTCAGTTTTACCTCTGTATTTTATATGTCAAGATTGTCAAAGAATAAGTCTCACTGGAAGTTATTAGGGGACCATGGAACAAATCTCTATTCCTTCAGAGCCCTAAAAGGAACAACAACAGTTGGATCATTTTTTTCTTTTTGAGGACACACAGTTGCAGACAAACATACAGAGTTGGATAGTTGAATCTTATTCTGAGTAACAAGCCATTTTAAAGAGATAAAGGTGCACAATCAGCTAGCTACACACTACTTAAGCAAGACCTTTAAGACACAAAACACACAAAAAAAACCCCGTTAACTCGGAATTAAAGTTAAACTCGTTTATGGCTTCTTAGCAGCTTCTGCAAAGGAATTTTCCAAGAGCTCAGGAAACTGAAGCCAGTTGCCTTTGCCCTATGGAGAGGTTGGGTGGGCAGAGCAATAGCTGCAACAGCTCTTCTCGCCTTCTTTTTGCAGCACTGGCAATAACAACAATAGCCAGTGTGGCTTTTGGGGATTCAGCCCAGGCAACCTTGCAGCCCCTGGAAGTCTACTGCTCCGGGCAACCTTACTTATGCCTAGAACTAGCAGAGTATTAAATGATACATGTACGTATTGTTTGTCCATTCATAAGTGTGCACACACAGAGCGCCGATCTAAAACTACTCAGTTGAAAGCTGTACTTTTCTGTAGCAAAATTTTGCAAATAAACATAATGATCTTTTGTTTTCCCTGTATCTTTATTTTTCTGTGTAATTCAAT